AGTAAAGGCTTTCTTGCTGCTATTCTTCCACAAAGGCCACATTCTGGCAGTGTTTTTGGTGACTGCCCTTCTTAATACACTATGTTAATATCACCAACAAGGTATTTTACAGTTTTTATACAGAAATGATTTTTAGATATATAAAATCTCTTTCAGTGAGCTTTTTTCTCCGTCCCCTGCATTATCTGATTTTATAAGACTGGGTTTTCTTGTATCTTTCCAATGTATATTTCACAGTAACTGGTGAACAGCCGGGTTCTTTTGAAATTTGTGATGTAAACATTGGATTCTGGTTCTTCAAAGAGTGTTAATTCTCTCTGTATTGGCATTTGAATGGTAACACCACACTGTATTAGCTGTACTGAACGATGTTTTTGGTAAAAAAAAAACAATCATCCATTGTATATTTAAAGATGTTACTTGGAAATTCAGAATGTGAAAATCTCATCTTTTTGTCAGTAATGACTGATACAGCAATTTAAGGTAATCCTGTGCGGCAAAGTTGCAATGCTTTCTATTTTGATTAGACATATTCAACAACATTAAAAATACCTACTGCACTTAATCTTTTGTGTTGCTTTTTTCTCAACATTTTAAAGGAATTAAATGTGTAGCATATTAAAGTCATGAATAAAGCGAGAAAAACAATTGATGGGTTTTTCAACATTTTAAACTACAATGGTTTTATTTCATAAGCACAAAAATCAAAACTACAGTACTAATGGAGTGTTCTGATAAATTTACACACTACTGTACACATATCTAAGAACAGAAACGAACCATCCTAAGAAAATCTTGGTGACACCCATTTGCATTACACTAACGTAGTTAGTCATAGAGAACTTTTTAACAAAGTTTATGATATAACTTGTGAATTTCGAATTCAAGTGGTTGATCCACAACAACATCAAAGCAAGATTCTCAAAGTCAAAGTAATACGTCTTATCATATAACACTAGCGAGTGTACACTTCAACTGACTCTATTGTTAAAATAATGCTACATGAGCAAAATACTTACAGGTCAATTGACACTACTGATATCTCTAGGAAAGTCAGATACACTAAAATTGACACTACTGATATCTCTAGGAGAGTCAGATACACTATAATTGACACTACTGATATCTCTAGGAGAGTCAGATACACTACAATTGACACTACTGATATCTCTAGGAGAGTCAGATACACTACAATTGACACTACTGATATCTCCAGGAGATTCAGATACACTACAATTGACACTACTGATATCTCCAGGAGAGTCAGATACACTATAATTGACGCTATTGATAACACTAGGAGAGACAAGATACACTTCAACAAGATACGGATAATAACAGTAAATTAAAATATCCGGGTAGTTACAGTTACGGCAAATGCGTTATCAGCTATATCATTTGGAAGGTAATGTTATGATAGTTACTTTGAAACGAAGTTCATAATACAATATTATATGACTCATAAAGCAAAACCTCACTTCATAAAGTTTATTCACTATCTATAAAGTAAATATATAATCACATTTAACTCTTTATACCTCATCGAATTAATATAATTATGCTACTAAATTCTTCTTATTGCAAATTACTCTATAATATTCGAACAACTATATTATTGTAGAGTGTCCGGCAATTATGTTAACAAAGGTGTTTACATTCGTTCTACAGATAAAATCCTTGAACCTCTGCTACAAGGACTACTTTAACTCAATTAAGCCAACAGAATTACATTACAACATTCATAAAATATTATAGGACTCAGAATTTGCCCAACAGGAGTTTCAACACATTAGAAAATAATATTAATAAAATTTCCAAACTTTGTATGTTTAAAATTGTACTTTATCCAAGGCCTAGCAGTACTTTAGACTGATACTACACTGAATTTAACTCCGTTTATCGTAAAAGAAACTAGTTTATTTAAAGATTTATTACTTGTAAAGGATATATGAAATATATGTGTATATACAGAGTGAAATAAAAGTAACTATACATATGGCATTATACGATTGGTATTAAAAAAAATATTACGAAGTCGTTTGTCACCAACTTAACTATTGTTTGTTCCAAAGTAATAGTTTTTATTGTCATGTTGTTGTTTTTCACTCCAGTAAGTAGTGTTACTCTGTAAAATGGTAACTGTGCAAAAAAAAAAAGGGCTCAATGTGTCATTTGACTTGCAGAAATCAAGTCAGTGACTGTGGTTCAGCGTAATTACAGTCTCCAGTACTGGAACAAAGTATGGGGTATGTTAAGGATATTATGTATCGCACACCTATAGCAAACACCAGGAAGCTAAAGACCAGGATAACGAATGTCGTCTCCATTGTAACTGTGGACATGTTGCAGCGAGTGTGGATTGAAATCGAATATCGGTTAGACGTGTAAAAAAACATTCAAACAAATGGTGCACTGACATAACAATATAAACTGTTTAAGTTGGGCTACAATATATTTAAAACTGCATTGTTGTATTTTCCTAGCCATTTAATTATTAAATTTTAAAATAGAAAAGATGATTTTGTACCTCCCTGAATAATTGTACAAAGCACTTTCCTTATCAAGCTTTTAAACTTATACGATAGATGGCACTGCGTAATATACCCTGCAAGTCTTTCTCTCTTACTGTACACACTACAGTCTCATCAGTAATGACGTATATAAGTTTTACTGCCATTATTTGATCTGAGGATGAAGTAAAGTTTAAACTTTATAAGGGTCTTGAGAATGTTAGTTGGAAGCTAGTTTTAAACCAAATTAATACACCTTATCCTCGTTTCTCAAAATTGTTAACTTGTTAATTTTTCTATGATATATTTAATTGCTTTGGCGTTGAAAGCTGAGTTTTCGTATTATACTGCTGTGGATTTATACGTAATTCACTAAATCTGTTATTCCTCCGTGTCAGCTGTAGCTGTTTGACAGACTCATGTATCACTCTGAGGGGTTTGCAAGTTTCATGCTATTATTCAAGAAGCATCAGATAAATCACAAATGAAACCGTATCTGTAACTATATGTAAACTGCATTTGTGGTCAGTAGAAAGAAATGTAATACGTTGATCGCTACAAACTAATAAATTCATCAAGTTAATTTGCTATCAGGCAGGCTGAGGTACTTTGTGAGACATAAGTTTCTGAACTTACAGTGTGGTTATAACTTCTTCACAACATTATTTATGAAAATGGTAATTTATCCATTCAAAACCGACCGTCAGTAATAAGTTATTTTTCACTTGATAAATCAGTCTCACACTCTTTATCAAATATGGAGAAATAGATACTAATATTTAAAGCATTAGTTGCTGCGAAACTTCACAAAAAAAGAGAAAATCACTGTACCGCGACTGCCTTTTTTTTTCAGGTATTCCTAATACATAAATTAACTCACTGGAGAAAATCACTTCCAGCATAAAATACTTGTTTAGGACAACGATTATGTAGGAGAGGTGCGGGGACAGACGGAGGGAGGGAAAAAGGGGGGGGAGCAGTGACCTCATTTTTTCCTAATATTTTTCTAGTGTTGCTATACCCATATGGGGAGGGTGGGGAGGGGAAAATGAAAGTACCGCTTCGAATGAGCAGGTATATTTCATATTTTTTTGCCAGTCTTTTATACGTGACTATAATAATCATGAGTACCACTATTAAATCAGGAAAAAAACATGCAACACATAATTTGTATTGTTGTTGTCTTTTTGTCATTTCTTTTAATCAACGTACGTTAGTCATACTTTGAATTATTAACAACCAACGGTTTTTACAGTAATTACCAATGTTATTCAGTACCAAAACTCCGAAGTTCTTCTAAACGGTGATTGGCTTGAGATGAAATTCACAGTTATAACAAAGAATGAGATGAACTACGACAGTACAGGTTCGAGAGCGTAAAGAACAACCCAGCCTAGCAATAAACAACAGGCTAATGTATAGGTACACATTTATAAGCACATAGCATATGTTTGTAGATTAATCTAACCCAATAATTATGTGGGTGCTAACAACCTCATATGGTTGTCGTTCTTATTTATTTGTCAAAATCTTTGGGGCTTTTGTTTACTTCTTTTTTATAAGTATATAAGTTGTTTTCAACTTAATAAGTCATGTTTGACGATCAGTTTATATATATATATATATAGGAGTGGTTCCATAAATTGATTCACATATTTTGGACTGTGTGTGTTTTCTTATGGCAAAGCCACATCCGGCTATCTGCTGTGTCCACCGAGGGGAATCGAACCCCTTATTTTAGCGTTGTAAATCATTGGACTTACCGCTCTCTCAACGAGGGACTTTTTGGACGGACACACAATATCCTTGTTCAAGACACTGGTCACAGATCTCCTAACAGCTCTAGGCGAAGCGTGGAAAGCACCAGAAAAACATCTTAACAAAATCAAGTGACATAATCAGAACCCACAAAATATGGAGCTAAAATGTTCCTACGATGCTTCTGTTTATTATTCAAAATGTCCCCACCACCTTGGAGGAAGGGCTATCTCCAACAAAGTTCTTATACATTTAACAACAACATAAGTTGTTTTTACTGTTTCTGTAGAGCTCTCTGGAAAATATCTTTAAACTAATTTTTATATTAAATCAAATAATATTTACCGTTTGTGCACTAATCATGTATATGTAAAATCCACTGATTTTTGTTTTGCTCTGTGATCATTGTATTGTTATTTTAGTGATCTGACATTTCAAAATTTACTCAGAAACCCGGAGCGCTGCTAAGATAGAAAGAATAAAAATCGATAAGTCCAAAAGTAAAAGAAAGTAAACACAAAAGATTATGAAAATATGAAATTCAGAGTGAATGTAAAAAAAAAAAGTTATTTTCTGGTGAATTTGGTAAAACTGTTGCAGAGTATTTCTGAAACACACTTATATTCGATACACAAAGAACCAATAGAACAGCAGCTTGCCCTCAGTTTGTTGCAACATGCTGGGCCAGTTTTTGCTGTTATTAAAACACTCTGCCTGAGGCCTGGTGCCAAAGAAAGGCGCTCGACGCGTCTCAGAGTAAGAGTGTGAAGCTACACGAACGCTGTGGTTCGCGTTGGTCGCGAGCTGGAGAGAAAGTGGGTAAGTTCATATTATTTTCACTGTTTTTCAATTGTTTATGATATTGATAATATACGGTAAAACAAATTAAATCTATTAGACATAACGACATTAATTTTCAAATAGTACAGTGTGACCTAGCTTTTGTTTTTGTTCCTTTTGTATAAAGAACGAACGTAATATTCACATTAACGCTGTATCATACGCTCACTGTTTCTTGAAAACGAACGTTCATTTACCTCGCCTCTACTTGAAGCTAAGGTGATCACACAAGCTCGTAGCCAGGTAGTGTGTGTGCGTAAAAAATCCGAAATACGTAATGGTTCGTACGTTATAACTACAAATAAACATTTCTAATAAATTTTTCCGCATGTATGCAGCGTTACAAAAGTAGTTATATAATGAGAGATCATCATTAAAGAAAGGAAAAAATAAATGCTCACATACACACACTTCCCCCGGAGTCCGCTATGAACATGATATAAACAGGTTTCCTGTCAGATTTTATTATTTTTGTACCATGTAATCAAATACATTACCACGGATAAATAGATGGGTAGATAGAATCAACTTAAACACATTGCTACGGATAAATAGATTGGTAGATAAAATCAACTTAAACACATAGCTACGAATAGATAGATGAGTAGATAGAATCAACTTAAACACATTCCTACGAATAGATAGATGAGTAGATAGAATCAACTTAAACACATTCCTACGAATAGATAGGTAGATAGAATCGACTTAAACACATTGCTACGGATAAATAGATTGGTAGATAGAATCAACTTAAACACATTGCCACGAATAGATAGATGGGTAGATATAATCAACTTAAAGACATTGCTACGGATAAATAGATGGGTAGATAGAATCAACTTAAACACAATTCTACGAATGAATAGATGGGTAGATAGAATCAACTTAAAGACATTGCCACGAATAGATAGTAGGGTAGATAGAATCAACTAAAACACATTGCTACGGAGAAATAGATGGGTAGCTAAAATTAACTTAAACACAATTCTACGAATAAATAGATGGGTAGATAGAATCAACTTAAACACATTGCTACGAATAGATAGGTAGATAGAATCAACTTAAACACATTGCTACGGATAAATAGATGGGTAGATAGAATCAACTTAAACATATTGCTACGAATAGACTGATGGGTAGATAGAATAAACTTAAACACATTGCTGCGAATAGATAAATAGGTAGATAGAATCAACTTAAACACATTGCTACGAATAGAGAAATGGGTAGATAGAATCAACTTAAACACATTCCTATGAATAGATAGGTAGATAGAATCAACTTAAACATATTGTTACGAATAGATAGATGAGTAGATAGAATCAACTTAAACACATTGCCACGAATAGATATTATGGTAGATAGAATAAACTTAAACACATTGCTACGAATAATAGATGGGTAGATAGAATCAACTTAAACACATTGCTACATCTACCCATCTATCTATTCGTAGCAATGTGTTTAAGTTGATTCTATCTACCCATCTATTTATCCAAAATTAACTTAAACACATTGCTACGAATAGATAGATGGGTAGATAAAATTAACTGAAACAATTCTACGAATAAATAGATGGTAGATAGAATCAACTGAAAAACATTGCTACGAATAGATAGATGGGTAGATAGAATCAACTTAAAAACGTTGCTACGAATAGATAGATGGGTAGATAGAATTGACTTAAACACATTGCTACGGATAAATAGATGGGTAGATAGAATCAACTTAAACACATTGCTACGAATAGATAGATGGGTAGATAGAATCAACTTAAACACATACGAATAGATAGATGGGTAGATAGAATCAACTTAAACACATTGATACGAATAGATAGATGGGTAAATAGAATCAACTTAAACACATTGCTACGAATAGATAGATACGTAGATAGAATCAACTTAAACACATTGCTTCTGTGTATACCTATAATAAGTATACCTATGTTTGACAAACACACGGAAGCTAAGTTGAGGATAGATAATTGGCTGGAAAGTCGTTCAGGTTGACTGACTAACTTAATAAAAAATGAACAACGGAAAGATGGTGAGGTGGACGTACAGACGAGATATGATGAATAGACAAACGAATGAAGAATTACGCACCTGGGGAGATGGAATATGTTTGTACATAGAGGATTTATTATTAAGTAAATCTTCTCAGGATGTAATTTACTCTCAGGTTGTCCCGTAAGATCACAAGGGTAACCACAACAGTAAGTTTCGAGCTCTGGACAATAAAACATTGTGATTTCATGACGTTCGGCACAACTAAAATATGTTTGTAGATTACATATGGGTAAAACGTGGCATTTTCTTACCGCTGTCCCGCCGGAGACAGATTATTATGAAAATGATATAAAATAATAAGAATTTATAAGCAAATACTTGAGCTAATAATGATCAAAAAGTCTAAATGTTATATCTGCTTCAATAGACAATATCATTCAACCAACCAGTGTTCTAAGAAGTATGAAAAAGTTCGTTCTAGAGATCTCATTGGTAAAGTCACGATTTTCTTTTCTAGTTCTAACTGTTTTCGCACGATAAGTTGGCAGTAACAGGTCCGCGCGTTGTCGTCCTATTACATTAACTTCCGCATTCGTATACCCTAAATTATTCAAGCATGCTGATAATTACCGCGCTACGGTCTGTGATGGGTTTAGTAAAAGCAGCTTCAAACAATAATATTTGTGTATATGATAAAAATGCTTTTCTCATATAGAAAGAGTTTGGGACATAGGTTATATTCATATTTTCAAGGTCAAAAAGTAATATGTTGGGGCTTTTGATATTGTGTTTAGTTGGAAGGTTTTATATTTATATCATATTTTCACAGATTCTCAGTTTCTAAAAGGTACTGCTATTTACCACTACTATCACCGAGTTAATGGAATTATTAAGACCGATGGTTTGTTTGAAGTTAAGCACAAAGCTACACAATGAGCTATCTGTGCTCTGCCCACCACGGGTATCGAAACTCGGTTTCTAGTGTTGTAAGTCCGCAGACGTATCGCTGTGCAACTAGGGGGCAAGACCAATGGAAGGTTTATTACATCATTTTTTATCATACACACCCAGTTCAGTACAAGCCTGATATCATATTGTCTACGTTAGAGAAATTCGATGTTTCGAAAGGCATTTCCTGCTACTCTAATCATTGAAGATGAAAACAATTACGTTGCACTGTATTACCTGAAAACCAAAAATTATTTCAACGCCTTTAGACTGACACACTTAAAACAGTTAATATAAAAACAATAATAGTAAAATAAACACGAGATCAAATAATAATACCTTTTATATCACTGAAGGCTCGCACTAATCATTTCTTCTTCTGTGACTGATATTGAAATTTCAAGATAAATTTGAATTTTAACATTTTCGGTGCGACCACATCAAAAAAGCTAGAAAACTAAACGATAGACATTTTCCATAATGCAAGACTTTGATTTAGATTTTATCATTACCGTCACAAAACTCGTAAACTGCTTGGTTACCCATATCGAAAAACGTAACTCACTGTTTTATAAGTGAATAATATGTTTGTATTATAATTTTGTACTGAAAGATTAAAAACTTCGAAGTACTGAGCGGGTAGATTCGTTTATGTGTATGTATGTGTGTGTGTTTTTGCGGTCGCACGACACAGAAAGGCAAACACACGTTTTGTTGAATGAATCACAGTTTCAGTAAAACAATGAAACAACACGTTTTCGGAGAAGTTTAGATAGATGAAAGAGAGAGACCGTAAGAGACAAGTTAGCTATAACACGTGAACTTTGGAATAAACTTTAATTACCTACAGAAGTTGACTGACGATTAAATTATATTAATAGGACAAAAGGAGCTATAAAAATTACTTTTTTCCTTTTCACAATACGCACACGGTTTTACCAAATATGTTACTTAGTATTTCTGTAATTCACGTGTATCACCTTAAAGGACAGATGCACAGGTAGGTGTAGAATGTTCATATTGCGATACACGTGTATCCGTTGGTAGGGTTATATAAGAAAGTTTTGTTATCGATGAGATCAGCTGTTTTAATTTTCATTCTGATAATTATGACAATCAGCGGGAATACTTACTCTGGTTTTCATGTCAAGGATGTTTTAAAGCTTTGAGCCAGGGTGTGTCATTCTTGTGCACTCTAGAAACCTACAAATAAAGGGAGGTTTGATGAAATATACCCAGGAGCCTTCAGATTTTGTTCCACTCGACCAGAAATTATAAGAGACTGAGGGGAAAACGTTCATTTAATAAAAATACTTTATTTCACAAAATCAACTGGCACAGAATCAAAGACGATGACCAGTAGTACTTATTAATTCTTGATTATTTCTGCTTAATAACTACTGGACAATAAGCAGGCGACTCCATGAAACAAAGACTAGGCCAAACTCTGAGAGAGCACTAACCTTGTTTTGAATTATATTAAAATTCTAATACTCAGTAAGACTTCCCAAGAAGCCATATCACCAGGCAAGTCCCATGGACAGAAAGAGGAAATCAGGATTTCCAACTGTTTTATCTTAATATACAACCAACATGCCAGAAAACCCCGTGAAACTTGCTTAACTAGTTCAACTAGGATATATTTTCCAACATAATCTCCAATTGAGTCAATAAACTTTATGCACTTCTGAAAAAAATCTTCTTCTTGGTTCTCAATCAATGATTGGCCGGTATGTACGAGATCGTCATCATTCTGAAATCTTCGACCTTTCAGAAATACTTTAAGGTTCGGGAAGAGAAAAAAGTCACTTGGAGCTAAAGCCGGTGAGTAAGAGCTGGTGATTGAGTATTTCGAAGCCAACATCATGGATAGCGTTCAAAGCGACACGCGATTCGTGAACCGGGGCATTGTCATGGAAGATCACACTTGAGCAATCCTCTTCTTTTTTCTTTGATTTCTTGATGCAAATTGTTCATTAATGATATATAGTAATCTCCTGTAACGGTTTGACCCCTTTC